AGGCCAACATCTGCTACGGGGCTGAAAACCAAGGAGCCCTCTCGGAAGGGAAGATCAGTTTTTCAGTTGCTACTGGAACCAGAAGCACGCATCCAAGAAGAAGCAGCACCCTTCAGGTCAAAAGCAAAAATTTAAGAGTAGCAGCAAGAGCCTCCAGATTGTAGGACACACACACCCCCCCATTAAAGACCCTCTTTTGAAATGGTAACTTTCGTTAAGCTGGAAAAAAGATACATCTCCGCCACAGCAAGCAGTTTCCGGAGCAAACTGGGCTCCCGGATTTCGTAAGACCCTGCCTACCCTGCTCTAACGTGTCAATTCGCCATCTAAGCAACAAAAATATAAATGCTTTTGTGCTCTCCCCCTCCCCTTGACAAAGGGGAGCAGAGGGCAATATTCCTGACAGCCTCACCTTGCTGACTTCATTCTTCCTTCAACATTTCGGTCAGCACTTTTGGAGAATTGGGGAACCCAGAGATAAAGCCATTCTCCGCTCAGCTTTCAGCACAAGCAAGCAGTACCCATCTGCTCCCCAGCATTAAAGCCTCTGAGTTGCCACCCTGCTTTTCCCATCATACATTTCTCTGGCTAAACAATCCCGGACGGACAGGCTGCTCTCTCCGCTATAAGGCAGCAAATGGCTCGAGTATTTTTAAATTCACCATCACTGAGTCCTTAACTGTGGTCACTTACCAGAAGATCCCTTCCTATATCATGGCCCAATCTAATGTTTTGAGCAGCTCCTTTATTTTTAAAAAAAAAATAGAACAGTTCACACTTTTTAAAAAATCTACCTAGATTTTGAGTCAGATAGCAAAAAAGAAAAGAGAAGAGCTGGGTTTGAATCCCTACTGAGCTGCAAAGTACACTGGGTGACCTTGGGACAGGCACTCACTTTCTCCCTAATGTCCCTCACAGGGATGTTGTGATGGTAACATGGAAAACAGGACAACCCACCCATTCCACCTTAGAAGAAGGGGATGAAATAGAAACATTAAAGCGTGGGGGTTTTAGATAAATCTTGAAATGCGCATGTCCATTAAGATCAGATTATACAAACAGCCATTTTTAAAAAAAAAACCAGGAAAGCCATAAAAACATCCTACCCTCATTATGATGTGTGTCAGGCTAACACGTCTGAAAACGTGGGCATGCAAACACACTTGTTTAAGAAGATGAGAAACACCCCTTGTGCAAGCAGAAATTGCCCCTGCATCTCTGAACGGTTTTTCTGTTTTGTTTTTAAAGAAAGGGGTATGCATGCGCACAAAGACGCATTCACATGTGTGTGCGTCTGGAATGTGTTTTAGACCCCAAGGGAGCAAGGCATCGATGCCCTGGAGAGAATAAATAACACAAAATGTTGCAGGGTTTATTCTCAAATTTATTTTTGATCCCCAGTTGCTGACATGATATGACAGGAGCAGGTGGCAAGCTGGTGGGGGCCTCTTAAAACAGGGAGGAAAAAGGCTGAAATCCGACATCCAGTCAATACACAGCCATAGGTCCCAATGAAATCTTCAGGATTCGTGCCCATGCACCTCGGTAAAGAACCACAGCCACATATTTCAAAAGGAACCCGCTTTTGACTGCACCAAGTAAACCAGTTTAAATAGGTTAACCTCTAACATCGGGGCACTGCTGCACTTCACGGCTTCTAACGCTTGCAGCTTAACCAGGGATCCGAGGAAACTCCTGACAGTTGTGGAAATAAGTCAATCTTTCCCCCCCTCGTATGTCACCGATGGCACGCAGGGTTGGAACAGCCTGATCCGTAAAGAGCCATTTACGGCTCCTGACCAAACTGCAACCATAAAAAGATGAAGTTCTGTGTCCAAAAGGGGGGGGACGATGACCACATGCACATCTCTTTGTTCAAAATACGTTTGCTCCCGCTTTTGACATTATTAATGGCAGCATCTCAATTGTAATGGAACAAGCGTGGGGGGGAAACCTGAGCTGTTACCAAGACAATCTTTCCAATCTTCTTCTCTGCCCCCCCAACTCACGATCAAAGGCATGATACCCAATTCCTACCTGTGCCACTCACTACACACACACACACACACACACACGCAGTCCTCCGGCAAATATTCCGAGATCCAAGCCGTACCTCACCCAACAAGCCAAATCCTTTAACCAAACACAAAAGACTTTTATGGGAACTGTAAAATATAAAGGAAAGACAGCCCCCCCAAAAAAACCCATCACCCTTGAGCTTTAAAAGCCCACCCTCCAAATGCAACAGTCACCCCTGCGAAGAAGGAATGAAGGAGAACCCCAAGCGGCAAAGGCAGATAAGGAGAAAAACCTTCAGGGCTGGAGGAGGCAGGAAGGAGAGAGAGAGAGAAGGAGGAACCAGGAGCCCACCTTCCTGTAGCATGCCCACTCCTCTACCTGGAAGAAATGTAAAGCAAAAGAAGCCGGGCTTCTTGTCTCCCCCTTTGCCAAACTTTGCATTAACAAGGCTGGGTGCCCCCAGGGCATCGATGGCACGGCTCAAAGAGAAGCACCAATGAGCTTCTCTCTTCCCATTTGCCTAGTAGCATCTTCTACCTAGTTAGAGTACAGTGGGGTCCCTTTCTCATGGAGATTAAAAAAATACACCTTTCATTCATCCAAAAGTCCCCCCCCCCCCCCCGCAAAGAAAGCACCCACAGGGACCAAAACCAAGATAGCTGAAAAACAGTGCATTATGCGGGCAATCCTCTCTGGGAAATTTGTAACCAAGCTTGGACTTTAAAAAACAAACAACCCACCAAAACCACAAACCCCAAATTTACAATAGCAGTTAGGGGAGGTGGGGGGGGGCTGAAGAAAGCCGCGAGGGGGCCTTGCCCCAGGAGTCGAGCAGCAGAAGGGGGTGTGTTTGAGCAAAGTCTTCTAGGGAGGGCATACCGATTGGATTCCAGAAAAGGCTTCCCCCCCAAAGGGGGGGGGGCGTGCGGGGGGGGGAAGGCTCCCGCCGGGGAACCCCTCT